ATTTTTTTGCATATATCTGTCCAATTTTCCCAACACCATTTATTGAAGAAACTATCTTGACTCCATTGTATGCTCTTGCCTCCTTTGTCAAATATTAATTGACTATAGTGGTTTGGGTCGATTTCCGGGTTCTCTATTCCATTGGTCTATATATCTGTTCTTGTCCCAGTACCAGCCACTTTTGAGAACAGTGGCTTTGTAATACAGCTTGATATCTGGTATTGAGATCCCACCTACTTTGTTCTTTCCCAGGATTGTTGCAGCTATTCGGGCTCTTTTTTTTATTCCAGAAGTATTTTTGGAGAGTTCGTTCTAGATCTGTGAAATATGCCGTTGGTATTTTAATGGGGATTGCATTGAATCTATAGATGGCTTTGTGTAGTATGGACATTTTAATGATGTTGATTCTACCAATCCATGAACACGGTATGTTCTTCCATCTGTTTATGTCTTCCTCTTTCTCTTTTTTTAGTGTCCTGTAGTTTTCTGAGTACAGGTCTTTTAACTCCTTAGTTAAGTTTATTCCTTGGTATATTAATTTTTTTTTGCTGCAATGGTAAATGGTATTTTTTTTTAATCTCTCTTTCTGTAAGTTCACTATTTGTGTGTAAAAATGCATAGATTTCTTGGCATTAATTTTGTATTCTGCTACATTGCAGAATTCATTTATTAAGTCTAATAATTTTTTGATGGAGTCTTTAGGGTTTTCTATGTACAGTAGCATGTCATCTGCAAATGACAGTTTTACATCTTTTCCAATGTGAATACCTTTTATTTCCCCTTCTTGTCTAATTGCTATGGCTAGTACTTCCAGTGCTATGTTGAACAGGAGTGGTGAGAGTGGGCATCCCTGTCTTGTTCCTGTTCTTAGGGAAAATGGTTTAAGTTTTTGCCCATTGAGTATGATATTGGCTGTGGGTTTGTCATATATGGCTTTAATTATGTTGAGGTATAATAATTCTATTCCCACCTTGAGAGTTTTTATCAAGAAAGGGTGTTGGATTTTGTCAAATGCTTTTTCTGCATCAATTGATATGACTGTGATTTTTATCTCTCAATTTGTTTATGTGATGTATCACACTCATTGATTTGCGGATATTGTACCATCCTTGCATCCCTGGGAAAAATGTTACTTGGTCATGGTGTATGATCTTTCTGATATAATGCTGGATCTGATTTGCTAGAATTTTGTTGAGGATTTTGGCATCTATGTTCATGAGGGATATTGACCTGTAATTCTCTTCCTTTTTAGAGTGAGTGGAAGGAGAGGAGAGACAGAGAGAGACACACATTTATGTGAGACATCAATTGGTTGCCTCTGCATGCACTCCCCAACGAGGGCCGGGATCATTTCTGTAATGGAGGTGCATTCCCTTAACTAGAATCAAACCCAGGATCCTTCAGTCCTTGGGCCCAAACTCCATCCACTGAACCATACCAGCTAGGGCTGTGAGCTGTTTTTAATTCTACATTTGAGACTAATATTCAAAATTTCATTAATACTGATTACTTTTTGGCTACTTACTCACCAGATATACCTGATGGACTAAAATTTTCCATGTGGTCAGTTGAAGGAGATAAAAATATTTATTTTTAAACCCACAAGAAACAATATTGTTAGCTGTTACAAATTTGGCTTAATTAATAAATGTATAATTTTCTTGATAACGGAGAAAATAGTTCTTACTCTACTACTGCTCTATAGTAGCTAACACTATCCCATATTTATAATATTAATATATACTAAATGAATATTGCAACTTTATATTTGTTTAATTTTCACAAGGGAAAGCTGGCTTTCAAATATGACCTCTTTAAAGATGCAGATATTTCAAGGAAAGTTGGTCTGATCCTTCAGAGTGTAAGATCCAAAATCAAATGGAGGTTACAGGGAGCCAACTCAAAATCAGAATTAACTTTGTATAATAGTCTTGGGTCATATATAGCATTTATTGTACTATCTATACTAATAATAGAGGGATATGCAAATTGTCTAGGATGCCGTCACAGGAACAGTAACGACAAGCAGGCTGCGTGGGGCAACCAAGCTGGCAGGGGGGGGAGTGAGGGACAACCAAACAACTGAATAGCAGGCTGCATGGGGCAACCAGGCCGGTAGAGGGGGGCAGTTGAGGGCGACCAGGCTAGCAGGGGGGGACAGCTGGGGGTGACCAGGCCGGCAGGGGGGGAGCAGTTAGGGGCAATCAGGCCCGCAGGCAGAGGCAGTTAGGGGTGATCAGGCTGACATGCAGGTGAGCAGTTAGGAGCCAGCGGTCCTGGATTGTGAGAGGGATCCTGGATTGGAGACGGTGCAGGCTGGGCTGAGGAGAACTTCACCCCTCCCCCGTGGTGCACAGATTTAGTGCACAGGGCCTCTATTGTTACTATAATTATACACCAACTGCCCTATAACATTAATGTAAATCTAAATTAGGGAGAGGAACATGGACTTAGAATAGGATGAAACTCTTACTAGTTTTGTGACTTTTACCAAATTACTTAACACTCTGATCTTTGCTTCCTCAACTCTAAAATGGAAGTAATATTTCTACTTTTAGAATGCCACAGCTACATAATCTTTATAATACTTAAATTAGTTGCTACATTCATTCTTAAAAGGTGAGTTTCCTCCGATCTGCTATATGTCCCCAAATAAAATTGTTTGCATTTTGCCATCTTTCTTTGCAGTGTGTAGACTTATAGATGCACATGCTTTTAAAAGATCACTTAGTTATATTAAACCATGTTAATATTTATCTCTTGTGACAGTTCCTTGGGGGACAAATTTCTACTAAGAGGAAAAAATACATTTGTATGAATTTGTGTGTGTGTTGGTAACTTGAATTAATTGAATGTAAATTGTATTTTATATTTATAATATGAACAGTCTTGCTGGAATTTTTAAAATTGTGACCACCTAAAATGATGCTGTTTCAGAGATGTGGCATTTTGAACCTCAAAGAGAATTGAGTTGATTTTATGTAACTTGAAATATTGCTGAGCTCTTTACAGGTATAATCAAGTCAGAGAAATAAATGTTTACTCCACATTTTTATATTTTGTATACATATCTATCCTAACATTGCAATTTAAAGCTACCTTAAAATGACATCTAGATAAATTTTTGTCTTTAAAAAACTTTTATTATTTCAGGATCTGCATGAAGTTCCAATGTTCGTATAAATGTTTTATTTACCTTTTAACCAGTCAGAACCCTATGTTACTGTAGTAATATATGTATCTTAGATACTGCACTGTATTGCTCCCTCCCTTAGCTACAGTTATGTTATGGCTTTAGGTTTCTCATTATTTCTCACTCCTTTTAACCGTGATGTCAGTGGTAACACTGAGCCATTTGTAACACTGAGCAACATATGAGAGATGTTAGAGATTTTGAGTGGGAGTAAAAATAAGTGAAGACTATTGCTATATGTTTTCAAACACTTACATTTTAATTCAGGTGTTTGTGTTGTAACCATGCAACCTCCTGTGGTAAAAATGACTGACTGCTCTTTTTTCTTACGCTCTTTTAAGCAAAGTAAAGCTACAGTTCGGCTGAAAGAAGACATGAAAAAGATAGTGGCAGTGCCACTAAGTGAGCAGAAGAATTCTACCTATACGAAGTTATTTGGCGTCAGCCTCCAAGACCTTCAACAGCAGGGACTCACTGTGAATGGCATTCCAGTTATAGTGGGGAATATAGTGGAGTACTTGATGAAGAATGGTAAGTCAAGTCTTGTTTTAACTATGGTTTCCACAGTTCTCACATAAAACATTAAGTAGTTACTATGAGCAATAACTTTAATTATTGAGGTTTCTAGTTTGGAATGATTTCTAGTTTTAAGTGCTGAAATACACTGTTCTGATACTAATAGTTCAATTGATAGTCAATACATTTTAAAGGAAGAGAGAACTCTTTTTGGTTTCTGTCAGCTGAGGTCAATCATGAATTCATTGGATACCTTGATTGCCTTCCTAAAAAAGTAGTATGTGTAGCCTACTCTGGGGTCTTACTTACTCTTGAAGTGATAAAATTAAGCATGTAAAACCATTGAAGAGTAACATAGTACATTGCATGATAAAAAGAAATTATATCTCTTCATTTTTGAGAGGTATTTTGCCTTACGGTTATAATTTTATTTAAAAGCTGGATAATTTGAAAAAATTATTTCATGTTCCCTACATGCTTTCAGCAGTATGATAAGAGAATGGCCAACTATATAATAAATATCAATACACTCTAAAAGATTTGGGAGGGAAATATTCCAAGGGAGAACTTGGAATATTCATCATTTTCTATACTGAAAAAGCCTTTCTGTACTAAAACAATTACAGAATAGAGTGTAAAATTTTGGAGGAGTTTTAAAAGTTAACTTGAAAGTTCAAAGAAATTCTGAACTTTTGCAGTTTCCTTCAGCCCCCATATCTTCCCATGATTACAAAACCACTCCCCCTGCAAAGAAGAATCCTTCATTGCAAATGCTTGAGAAGCACCTTGCATTTGTTCCTCTATAACAGTGGTTCTCCACCTTGGCTGCACATTAGAATCACCTGAGAATCTTTTTAAAATCCTGATTTCTGGGCCTCATCCTCCGGAAATTCTGTTTCTTTGTTATGGGGTGGAGCCACTTCTTCCCGTGTACCATTGAAATCTTCCATTTTGTTTTTTTATTGTAGTTGTATTGCTTTTTATTTCCTCTTTATTCTCACATAAGTTGTTGATTTTCTCATCCATCTGCTTTATGAACTGTATGGTCCTTATTCTGAATTCTTTTTCTGACATATTGCATTCTTTCATTTTATTTCCTTTTTAAAAAAGTGTCATCTCCTTTTCTTTCCTTTGGGTGTTGTTTCTTTGTCTCCCCATTTGTACTGTCTCTTTCTGGCCCTGGACTCCCTGCTTGGGGTTTGAGGGGTTGAAGCCCCTAGCAGTCCAATGGTCCTGGACTTGCTAGCCCCAGGGGCTGGGTTTGACTTGAGTTTCACACCTTTATTGCCTCAGCTCTGAATTGTACACCCTTCTCACATGGTTCTGGTCCCTCATTTATCCACTTCTCAGGGTGGCGAGGGCAGGTACACAGTTCCTCTGGTGTATGATTCTCTGTGAAGCCTCTGGCATGCATTTTTTCTGTGCAGACCCAGACGCTAAGGCTGGATGGTACCTTAGTTCCCTCTGGCAGTGCACTTGGCAGTGTGGTCCTGTGACCTCTGGCTGAGCACACCAGGTCGCACCAGCAGCTCTGACCCGGGCTGGTGGTAGGGTGTGCACCAGGTGACAGCTCTGTCTGTGCTGGGTGCAGAGCACACACAGACCACACACAGACCAAAGGTTTTGTCTGGGCTGGGGCGTAGCACACACTGGGCTGTGTCTGTGTCTGTGCGGGGTGCAGGGTGCTCACCAGCCGAGGCCTCTGTCTGTGCTGGTATCAGAGCACCACTGGCCCAAGGCTCTGTCTGTGCCGGGGGCGTAGCACACACTGGGCTGCGGCTCTGTCAGTGTGGGGTGCGGGGTGCGTACCAGCCAAAAGGTCTGTCTGTACTGGTGGTGGAGCGCGCTCTGTCTGTGCCGGGGGCAGGGTGCTCACCGGGCAAGGGTTCTGTCTGGGCAGGGGTGTAACACGCACCCGGCTGCGGTTCTGTATTGGGCTCAGTCATGGAGTGGGGAGTGGGGTACCTGTGGCTTGCACTCAAAGCCCGCGGACCTGAAGCACAGGATCCTGGAACACTGGGTCTGGGCTCTGGCTAGGAGGCACAGCTCAGCGGTCTCTCTGGCGCGCTCTCACTGCAGACATCTAGGACCCACGTCATGGAACTGCGCTGCTCACTGTGGTGATTCCACGCAGCTTATGGCTGGCAAGCAGCTCCTTGCGCAGGTTCAGGGGTGCTGTTCGAGGTTGGTCTGGATGTTGGTGTTGCAGCACTCCTGGCCTCCGTTGCTCCCCTCTTCAAGATGGTGTAGGTTCTCTGTCAAAGCCAAGCTGCCCTGGGGATGCCCACGGCTGTAGCTGGGGTTCCCCTTTTAGAAGAGTTCTATTTGTCAGTCCCTGGGACTCCTGAGATAGCTATCTGTCCCTCACTCACCCCACACACACCACACACATCCACAGACACCTCCCTCACTTCTTTACTGTGTCACACTCTCTTCCTCCCTGCAGTCCTGTGGGCCACCATGTTTGGGCACTGATTCTTGCCCATCTTTTGCTGTCTACAAAGATTCAGTGACTTAAAATTTTTTTTGGCATATATGGAAATTTCTTTACACTTACATTTTATTATTTTCTTTATCAATGTGGTTTATTCTTTTTTAGTGTGTCATTTCAAGCACTGTGAGTGTTCTCATCGACCAGTTGTCGGCAAACTCATTAGTCAACAGAGCCAAATATCAATAGTACAACGATTGAAATTTCTTTTGAGAGCCAAATGTTTTAAACTATATAGGTAGGCACATTGTTATTAACTTAATTAGGGTACTCCTAAGGCTTAGGAAAAGCCACACTCAAAAGGCCAAAGAGCCACGTGTGACTTGTGAGCCGCAGTTTGCCAACCGCGGTCATAGACTAACTTTCTAGAAGTGGACTTCTGAGTCAAAGAATATGTGCATTTATATCTAACTCTAAAAGAGTTGAACCAGTTTATATTCACATCATCAATATAAGAAAATTTGGGTAAAATTTGAATTAGAGCTTGGTTTTCTTCTTCCCCTTAGCATGTTCTTAGTTACTCTCTAATAGGATATATTTAGGTAATTCAGACGTAATGTTTTAGTGGGCAAAATTAGTCATTCTTAAGTAGGGATATGAAATAGAATCACTAACCCCCTGGCAATGGGCAAGGAGACACCTGATTGGTGGTGTTGCTCTTATATCAATCAGGGGCAAAGCAGATGTACAGTCCTTAGTTCATCCTAGCTTGATGCCTGTGTCAGTGGCCAGAGCTGTTTCATGCCTGAGGCACATTAAAAAAAAAATAGAATCACTAGTGGAATCTTTTGCATGGGCGGTACCTCTGGTCTACTGAATCAGAATCTTGACTGGCAAGCTAGGGGAGGTTATCTACCCATCATTTCAAAAGGTTGTATAGTTCATTAATACTTAGACAACCAGGAACCCCTTATTGCATTTGAAATTATCATGTTAGTAAATCAAAGAGCCTATGTAAGTTTGAAGGGTGGTATACGTTTGAGGGCAAGATACTTCTATTGGTTTTATTAATTATTTTGTAGCCTTTTTCAAGTCAGCAAGTATTCATTATACAATGGTGAGTAGGCACTCTATCAGGTATGGGATATAGGGAGATTAGTCATGGTAATTTAACCAATGGTAGATACTGTGGTCATAGTTTGTTGTTTAATTAAATACAGACATTTAACAACTTGACACAAGGGGAACTCTTACTATAAAGGAATTTGGGACAGAAGAGGTTTATTAAGGCCTATATCAAACAAACTTTTTTACTTAAAAAATACAATTTTCTTTTTTTAGATTCAAAGGAAAATCTTATGAGGTATATCATCTTTAGACTATTTTAAAATAACTAATCTTGCTGACAATGTTACTAGATGCCTTCTCTTTAACATGAAGACACTGTATGATGACATTTTAAGTAGTGTAGGATTCTGCACTCACCACCAGATGTCAGGATATGCTTATATATTGTTATACTGTTTTCTGGGTCAAAGTGTTCCAATTAGGCAAATTCTGACTTCTGGCATGTTTAGTTTCTAATGATGATATAGTCACACTATTTTGTAATAAATATTTCAATACAAAAAAGTAGTTGTCGCCGAAACCGGTTTGGCTCAGTGGATAGAGCGTCGGCCTGCGGACTGAAGGGTCCCAGGTTCGATTCCGGTCAAGGGCATATACCTGGGTTGCGGGCACATCTCCAGTAGGAGATGTGCAGGAGGCGGCTGATCGATGTTTCTCTCTCATCGATGTTTCAATCTCTCTATCTCTCTCACTTCCTCTCTGTAAAAAATCAATAAAATATATTTTAAAAAAAAAGTAGTTGTCAGTGGTGTAGATATTAATTAGGTTGTATGATCATTATTATTAAATTGATATTCTATGATGCTTAATCCATATCTCCTGAAATCAAATCTAACAAAATTTCAGAAATGTATGATAATAATGCCACTAAGCCTTCTAGATACCTCATCCTTCTGAACATTTGAGTTGTAATTGTCATTTCCTAAAGATTTAGAGTAGGGAAATTTAGAGATTATTTAGTCTGGTAAGCCTTATATAGGCATTAGATATAAGTTCAAAAGGGGTTTTAAAAAACTGTTTTGTCCTGTCCCCACCCCCCTCCAGAGTGAATATAGCCATGACCAGGGGTAAACTTCTCCTGCTTGAAAATTACTAAATATTCTAAGAGTTGTTTGGGTGAGAGATGTTCCTGAGGGAAGAGTTGTGCAAATAAATAGAATAGAGACAGAAAGGAATGGTTGAGAAGCATTTTAACTTAGATTCCTTCCATTTATAACTTATCTCCACTAGTTAGGTCTAGTGGGACCAGGAACCTTGAAAACCAAAGCCAGTTCATGGAAGTGGGTGGTTATTTTAGAGTGACTGGAAGTATATTTATCTGAGGGAAGGGTCACAAAACCTTGTTGGAAGAGAAAACCTAAGGTCTGTGAAATCTGACCCAGGGGGCATTCGCTAGGCCAAAAATAAGCTTAGGAGCTGGGTAGATACAGGGCTATGATGCAGAATTCTAAATTTTCAAGATTTAGGCCTTGACCAGGAATTGGGTTCTCCTTTATTGAGTGCTCTGCTTGGTGCCAGTATACATTTCTGTGTTACAGATGAAGCTTTGTGGAGTATAGGAAACAGTCCTGGAAAGCTTTAAAAATGACATGCTAAAGTCTTCCAATAGTAACTGATATTCTGCAACACTAACTAATATGATGTGCCATTCCTTTTGTCTGATACTGAATAATAGATTAACATAGCAGAGTAAAACAACAATGTTTATTGCCTCACGGGAATAAACATTGGTCATGAATTCCGGCACAGCTGTTTCTTCTATCATAGGGTCTCTTCTAAGGCTGAAGTTGTGGTGTTGGCTGAAGCTACAGGCTTATCAGGACTTGGCTGGGGAAATGTTCACTTCCAAGCTCATTTGCATGGCTGTTGGCAGGATTCAGTTCCTTGTGGGCTGTAGACTTGAGGTTTTCAGGTCCTCCTCGCTGGCTATTGTCCAGAAACTGCCCTCAGTTCCTTGCCACATGGACCTCTCCTTAAGGCAGCTAACAAAAAAATAGCAGCAATTCATCAGAGTGAGCAAATAAGAAGAGCGAGAGCGAGAGCGAGAGAGAGAGAGAGAACACGAGCGAGAACACAAGCAAGCAAGATGGACACCGTAAGTCTTTATAACCTAAATTCAGAAATGAGAGAGAGAGAGAGCGAGAGAGAGAGAGAGAGAGAACACGAGAGAGAGAGAACACGAGAGAGAACACAAGCAAGCAAGATGGACACCGTAAGTCTTTATAACCTAAATTCAGAAATGAGAGAGAGAGAGAGCGAGAGAGAGAGAGAGAACACGAGCGAGAACACAAGCAAGCAAGATAGACACCGTAAGTCTTTATAACCTAAATTCAGAAATAAGATTAGAACCTAATCACATTACTTTGCTACACTGTGTTGGTTAAAAGCAAATTACTAGGTCCAGCCCACACTCAAGGGGTGGAGATTACACATGGATGTGGATACCAAGTGGTGGGGATCATTGGGGCCGTTTGAGAAGCTGCATACCACACAGACTGACCGGTATCTCCTCTGATTATGCCTTGGCCATACTGGTTGTTAAATATTTTTAACATCATCTCTGGTTTCACAAATTTTTGTAAAACTTGGAGCTAAAATTCATATCATCTTTTGATACTTACATTCTTCAGAGCAAAATAATATGTATGTAAATACAAAAATATAGACATCTCACTAGACTTCAAATTCCATAAAGGTAATGGCAGTGTTTTTCCTTTCTAAGAGTTGATTTCTTTAGTACCTAACCTAGTGCAGTGTACTCATTAATACATAAAGAGTTCAGAAAATGTGTATGAAATTACAAAGAAATTAGCATCCTTTTTCTCCACTCCACTCCCCTCCCCTCCATTCCCCTCAGTTATGTTTTGTTTTTTATTTTTGTAACACGAAGGGAGAAAGGCAAAGGAAAAGGATCCAACTACATCCCACAACAGCTTCTGAGGTTCATGTGGAATTGTTTTCAAAAGACAATTTCAGATCTGTTTCAGGAAAACTAAGTGCAAAGACCTTAAAATGAAAACTCCTGTTTGTCACACAGGGATCCAATAAGAGATACAAAACAAACCTGTTTGCAGAATGCCCCTTTAACACAGGGGGCGGGCTCTAAAGATCCTTTTTCTTTAGAAAGAACAAGACAGAAAAAAACATCAGAGGCAGGGAATATGGCAGTTGTCAGGATGGCAGTGAGGGAGTATGAGTGAGTGAGGGAGCGAAAGGGGAGTGTGTGGACATGTGGGGTGTGTGTGTGTGTGTGTGTGTGTGTGTTAGGGATAGCTAGATCCTTCAGGACTTTCAGGGGCTGGTGGACTTGGTTCTCCTAGATAGAGAGCCCCTGCTACAGTTGAAATCACTCCCTGAGGGCCGGCTCTGACAGAAACCACACCATCTTGAAGAGGTCCAGCCTCACCACCACCCAGACTGGCCTCAGACACCATCCTGGACCCTACAGGCACTCTGACCAAAGACCTGCTACCTCAGCTGCAGACCCACGGACACCAGGACTGCAGCCTCCCTGGACGTGGGCTCTTGTGGGTCCCAGAGTATGTCCCCCACCCACCAGACCACTGAGTAGTTCCTGGGCACTGTGCGTCCCACTGGCCAGCCTCAGACTGTGCTCACTGCCTGCCAAGCCTGCAGCATCGGCCCCACGCACTGCACGTCTTGGTGCCTGGACCCTTCGTGAGAGCAAAAATGGGGAGATAGAGAAACAGCCTCCAAATGAAAGAAAAAGAGGACTTGTGAGAAAGGGAACTAAATGAAACAGAGGTGTGCTATATGTCTGAAAAAGAATTCAGACTAAGGCTCATACAATTCCTATATCAGCTGGATGAGAAAACCAACAACTTATGTAAGAATTAAGAGGAAATAAAAAGCAATACAGCTACAATAAAACCATGATGGAAGGTTTCAACTATAAGAAGTAGACTATAAAAAGCAGAGTACCGAATCGGTGAATTAGAAGATAGGGCAGAAAAACACACCCAATCCGAGCAGCAATCGGAGAAAAAAATTGGAAAGCAGGAGAAGAGCCTAAGAGAGCTTTGGGACAACATGAAACAAAGTAACATACGGATAAGAAGGGTGCCAGAATGACAAGAAGAGGAGCAAGGATTAGAAAGCCTATTTGAAGAAATAATGACAGAATACTTCCCTGATTTGGGGAAGAAAAAAGTCACACAAGAACAGATAGTCCCAAACAAGATGAACCCAAAAAGACACACACCAAAACATGTCTTAATTACAATGGCAAATATTAATGACAAAGAGAGAATCTTAAAGTCTGCAAGAGAGAAACGGGGAGTTACCTACAAAGGATCTCCCATTAGATTATCAAATGATTTCTCAACAGAAACACATCAGGCCAGAAGGGAATGGAATGAAGTATACAAAGCGATGCAAAGCAAAGGACTGAATCCAAAAATACTGTATCCTGCAAGGCTATCATTCAAAGTTGCAGACTTGACCCCTAGTGTGGGGAGATGCGGGAGGCTGCTGGTGGATGATTCTCTCTCATCACTCCTGTTTCTATCTCTCCCTTTCTGAAATCAATAAAATATATTTTAACAAAAACAAAAAAAAAGAGCAAGACAGTTTAGCAGGTAAGAGAAAGAAGTAAGGGCTGATATAAACAAACCCTTCCATCTAAATAATTATAATAGGAGTTAATGCTATGTCATTGCTCAAGTTTATGACTGGGTTCTCAAAGAAGAGTGGCAAGTTGAGTCCTTGGGTTACTCTTTCTTAGAATGATAGCTTCTGACACTTCTCACATTCCTTCATAGTCTGACTCACTTGTTTAAGTGGTGTGCCCTCTCCTCAAACGCAGCACACTGAGCTGAAAGCCATTATCTTCTGCCTAAACTAGCCATCGTCCCTTACCCCGCTTTGCCTTGTTCTTGACAGTGCTTTTCTTTCTGGATTTCTTGTTTTCAAACCTTACCTTTCAACTCCTACTCTTCCTTACTTCCCTTTTGTGCTAAGTTACCAAATCGCCATTATATTCTCCTTTTCACTTTCTTCCCACCGTACATTCTGTCTGATTGCCTGACGGTTGAATATGGTTTCCAGAAGGCAAGTTCTCTGCCCTCTGCATTCCCTACTTGTTCTCTAGGAGGTCTTTCTGAAACCTTGATTACATCGTGTTCCCCTCCTCTGTTCCCCTACTCCCCACTTGAAAATGTGCTCCAATGATAAAGTCTACAGTCTTTAACTTGGCATTCATGGCCCTATCCCGTTTCTTCCATTTATTACCCCATCCCTATTTGACCTAAACATTCCACATTTTTATCTGCCTATCTTTCTTTATTCTGTCCTGTCTCTGCTTCTTAATTCATATATTTGTTCTTTTTTTTTTATATAATATATTTTATTGAGTTTTTACAGAGAGGAAAGGAGAGAGAGAGAGAGTTAGAAACATCGATGAGAGAGAAACATCGACCAGCTGCCTCCTGCACACTCCCCACTGGGGATGTGCCCGCAACCCAGGTATATGCCCTTGACCGGAATCGTACCTGGGACCTTTCAGTCCGCAGGCCGACGCTCTATCCACTGAGCCAAACCGGTTTCGGCATATATTTGTTCTTTTTGTCAGGGATAAATCAAAGTTTTATGTGTTCTGTTGCTTAATCCTTTTGGGACCCCCTTAAGAAAAAGAATACAAAATTAAAAATACTAAATTAGGGACAGAGCACTGGAAAGGACCCAAACAAATGAGGGACCCTGAAACTTAAACTACAGTAGTTTCGCATATGTCAGCCCCAGCCTTTCTGTCTTGCCTATATTTTAGCCAAAAATTATGCAAAGGAGCCAAAGGTTTCCTCCATGAAGCTTTCGGTTGACCCCCGCCAAGACTAATATCACCTGTTAGCTGAAGGCAAGGATCTTATCTTATACTACTTTATAGTCTCATAGAGTCTTATACCTTAAATTTAGTGATTATTAAAAAAATACTACTTCTTAATTAAATTATTACAAAAATAATCACATAGAGTTGAGAAGTTCCTTACATACATGTTATTTTTTTTTAAATAGTTGTTCTCAAAATGCTAAGCTGTTATTGGGGCCCAAGGTAAGTTTCTGTTATGTACTAGCTAAGATTATATGAATGAAATTTCTTTGTAGAACCGTGTATGTTTTGTGGTTATATATGTTCTAACATCATTTTTAGAGGTCAGCTTTTATAACAGTTACGTATGCTCTTTTGTTGGTATGTTGTAGACATAAGATGTATTTTAGGAAAACATTTTTGCAAAATATGAAACTTGGTTATTATATAGTATTCAAAGAATCCTGTCCTGAGAGTTATTTATTTTTGTTGTTGTCCTTTTGAACTTGTTTCTGTAAGAGACCTCTATTTCCTCACTGTTCCAGGACTCACCCAGGAAGGCCTTTTTAGGGTGAATGGCAACATGAAGGTGGTGGAGCAGCTGCGCCTGAAGTTCGAGAGCGGCGTGCCCGTGGAGCTCCGGGAGGACGGCGACGTGTGTGCAGCGGCCAGTCTGTTAAAGCTCTTCCTGAGGGAGCTGCCCGAGAGTGTGATCCCCGCAGCCTTGCGTCCTCGGTTCCTTCAGCTCTTTCAGGGTTAGTGCAATAAATCCTTTCATTAGTTAAACAATTTCATCTTCCAGTTAAAACTAAACTTTTAGCACTAGCTGGTTGGGCTCAGTGGATAAGATCTTTGGCCTGCAGACTGAAGGGTACCGGGTTCAATTCTGGTCAAGGGCACATGCTTGGGTGGTGGGCTCGATCCCCCGTGTGAGGGGGTGCATGTAGGAGGCAGCCAATCAATTCCTCTCTCTCATCATTGATGTTTCTATCTCTCTCTCTCCTTCTCCCTTCCTCTCTGAAATCAATAAAAATATATTTTTTTTAAAAAATGAAACTTTTAAATATTAACCATTTTAATTTTAAATATTTAAACTGGAAATATTAAAATGAGCTTTTACATATTTGTCATCTCTCTATAATCACCATCTTGCTATTTTACTCTAGGTCCCCATCTTCTACCCTAAAATAATACTAAACTGATTATGAATACCATTACTAAATGGAATTCCTAAGACTGTTGGTATAGGAATACTTCAGTAAGATAATACTAAGAATGCTTTGGGGCCAAAGAATTCTTTTCTGACTAATGATTGCCATAGGAGTGAGAATACAACATTAAATCTGTGTAGGAAATAATAAGTGAACTGTATTTGGTTAGTGACCTTTGAAACTGACAGGTCACTTCTTTTTCTCATAAACAAAATTGAATCCTAAGATAATTGTGAGGCAAAATTGATTTATGATTGTAGTATTAAGTAATTTTAAATGAAGAAACTTTTTTTTTTATTCTTACCCATGGATGATTTTAGTGATTTTGAGAGAGAAAGGAAGAGAGAGAGAGAGAGAGAGAGAGAGAGAGAGAGGAAAGAAAGGGAAGGAAGGAGGAGGGAGG